CCCCCATCAGTGTTAGTGCTGCTGATAAGAGCAGACACCACTAACACCTAGGGAGAAGCTCCATCTATTGGTGGGGAGCATCACCTGCTGGAAAACGGTCCAGCGTCCCTTTTCCAGAGAATGAGAAGTGTCTGAGAACAGTGATTGATGAGTGATTGTGGAGCCTGCCAGCATTGATTGCCCTGTCATCAGGGGATTTACTGAGCAGGTACGTGTAAAGCATAAAGGGACCTCTTCACCTTAAAACAGGTGCCAAGTATACAACTGCGCGCTGGTTCCTTCCCCTGAGAAATTGAATAGTGGAGGGGCTGCTACCCTCAGACTGAGATTGAGATATGCGGGACAGGGTGATTCATTGAGACGCCTATTATTAGTTGGTCATGACCTCCTCCCAGCCCTATGGTTATGTATGTGTGTGTGTTTGGTATTGTAGGTATGTGCCTGTAGGCTATGTGTGTATGTTTGTAATTTGCGTGGACCCGTAGCAGATGCTGCACTTTTCTCCGGGGCTGGAAAGACAGTGCACGCTAAAAAAATACGAAGCGGTGCAGGCCTCCTTTTGGCGCGGTGCCGCCAGCCGCTTTGATGCTGTGGCCAAGCCCTGGAAGCAGCATCACATTGACGCCACAGGCCAAAAAAAATAGCGGATAGCCAAAGCTGGGTAATGCCCCGGGCCAAAAAAAACAGCGGGGCCAAGTACCTGTGGGAGCTAGCCGAAGCTGGGTAATGGCAGCACTGCCCGGGTTGGCCTCTGGGGAGACTCTCCTACGTCTCTTGGGCCAGACGCCCCCCAGCCCCGAGCTACGGTAGGTCGTTGACCGAATAATACCATGCTGCTAGCGATGCCCTTCCGCCAAAATAGGACGTGGGAGTATAATAGCTGTGTCTCTGGACACCACTGTTTGCCAAATATGGCTATAATGGATTCAGCAAAACTCGACGCGACTACGGTAGTGTCTTCCCCGAGCATAAACGAATACGTTCTACTCGAACACAAGCCACGGGCGTTCTGCTCGAACAACCGTAATATTCCAACAGAACGCACACGCTTTATTAGGATCATGGGTTGTTCCGAAAACTCGAGTACAAAGCATATGCGCTGTGATCGGGGGGAAGTCTGCAGTGTCTTCAGACTTGACTCGTTGGCCTCCAAACAAGAGAGAGTGTATACTATGGTGTTTTATGCGCAGGAATCTGCGCTGATTTTTTTATATTTGTTTATAACTAATCTATATTCTTCTCTCAATCTTCTTTTGTACATATATTTTCCTCATCTATCTCATCCTCTTGCTACTCTACGCAGTGCGCGGGGACCACCACACCAACCAAACCTGCAACCCTCCCCAGCCCACGGGCCCACGGGGGTAGGCTGGCACCACATCAGTGGGTGGTGCCAGAGCAAGGCTTTTATCAGCTCCTCATCACGATGATGCGGGGTGATCAGGCATTGCCTACGGGGAAACCGGCTATGCTACCGGTAGTCCCGAGCATCTTTGGCCAGTCACTCGCACCTCCCCTTACCCACCCCTCCAACCCCTCACGCGCTGATTCTCGATTTAATTTATGCATCTAATCCTTTAGTAGGGGCCGAAGGACCCCCCCGCAAATTTTTTTATTTTTTTTTTCCCGCGCTGATTTTAGCTTCTGGGTTGACTCCTTGTAGGTTGGGGCGGACGTACATCTCAGAGAGAGATAAATGTCTAGAAATTTGTAGGTTGGGGCGGCGTTGCGGCCGCCGCAGTTTTTCCTGGGTCCCGGCGAGGACGGGTCCCAGTACCGCCACATGTGAGAATCGGCAACGAACACGGTCTCGTTCCACACTCGGACTTCCCGCGGCGGACTCTTTTTTTTTTTTTTACTCCATCTCAAATGTATCTGAGCGCATTTACGGTCAGACCTGGATCCATCTGAGCGCAATTATGTCCTAACGTAAAAACGTCCTCGTAAGAGAAACGCCCTCACATTTGAATTTTCATTGACGCCGAGCCACCTCCTGTCCGTTTCCTTCGCTTCTCATCATCGAACTGACCTGCCGTAGGTAGGGCCAGATCCCACAAGCCCCTATTGTTCATTTCTGACCGTTGATCTTCGTAATCGACGGTGAACAATGAATAATCCAGGGTGGTGTGATCTGACCCTTCAGAACTGTTTGTAGTTTTTTTTTTTTTTTTTTTTTTTTT